TGAAGAACAGGGAGTAGTGTGGTTTGGCTGCAGCACTTGGTCAGTGAAAGATAGCAACATAAAATAAGTCCAAAAAAACATTTTCAGGGCATATTGTGGGGTGCCTTAAATACTTAATGCAACGTCAAGGGGTTGGCATTTTATTCAGGAGTGAATAAAGAGCCATTGAAGGTTTTTGATCAGAGGATTAACTTGATAAGATCTGTTTATAGTAGGCAAAGGGGATAGTCGTTCTTCCCACAGAAAGGAGTTGGGGCCAATTCTCTCTTCTTGTCCTACCAGAAGAGGTGCTGACTTCACACTGAAAGGAGCGAAGTCCTCTATGAAAGGAGCCTTATTCTTTACAAAATATCTGGGTAGTCCTAGAAAGGTATAGCAAACACATGTTGGGAGCAAAGGTTTCATTTTCCAATAATACTGCTCACCCTGGGCAAGTCCGTATTTCAGATAATCACCCCCATTTTAGGACATCATCTCCTTTTATCTGGGCTATTGCAATAGCCTTCTGACTGGTGTCTCTACTTCCAGACTTCAGGTCTAGGTGATCTACGTGTCAGGATATTAAAAATAGCAACAAGCACAACTTATGCTTGTTGAGCCACTGTCAGTCATCTAGGAGATCTAGGAATAATTACAGATAATGGGAAAGGTGCCATGAGACATAAAATTGGCAAATGCCCCAATTTTCAAACAGCGGAAGAAGGTAAATCCCTGAAACTATAGGTGAGTTAAACTTTGATTCTTAACAAAAATCTAGAATATATCATTAAAGAATATAGAAAATTCCCAGGATACATTATCAAAGCTATATTGACTTTGATTGTTAACACAATTCTAGAACATATTATTTAAATTATAGCTTCTGAACATTGAAAAAGGTATCAGAAAGAGGTCGTGACAGACTAACTTCATTCCCTTTTCTGACAGGATTACTGAGCTAGCAGATTAGAGGAATGCTATAGTTATTCGCTGTGTACTTGAACTTCAATTATGGATCTGAGAAAATTTCTAATATTATCGACAGAGAAATATGGGGATGGGAAAATATGAATTGCATCTGAGTATAGATTTGGTACTGGCTGAATGACTGGGCCTAGAATTCAGATGTATGAACATCGACCTGGAAGGAAGTTTCTAATGGAGTGCCACAGAACCCTTTCTCTGGTTATATTCTCTTTTCTATTTAAATAAATGACATGAGGGGCAGCTAGGTGGCACAGTAGATAGAGCTCCAGCCTTGGAGTCAGGAGGACCTGAGTTTAAATCTGACCTCAGACACTTGACACTTACTAGTTGTGTTTCCCTGGGCAAGTCACTTAACCCCTATTGCCTCACCAAAAAAATCAAATAAATGACATGGCTAAAGACATACCGAGAGAGATAATTCAATTCTACAAGTATTTATTAAGTATTTTCTATGTAATACTATCTAGGCACAAAAGACAATGATACAAATACAATAGTCTCTCTGCTGTTCAGATTTGTACGTGATACAAAACTGAGATTGTTCTCCATACTAGATGACAGGATCAAGATTCCCAAATAAGGCTTAAAATATGGGATAGCACAAATAAGGTGAAATGTGATTGACATAAAATCCTGTATTTGGTTTTAAAAATGACTGCACACATACAGGTTGGGAGAGCCATAGCTGGACAGCAATTCATGTTATCTTGAAGTCAACATACTGCAAGCTTAAACTAAGTTTGCAAAAAAATGATATGGCAGTCAAAAAAAATCCCAAACAAAGAAAACCAAATGCAATCTCAAGCTGAATTAATTGTTACACAGAGTGCAGAAAGTCAGTATGAAGTAGAGTTCAAGAGCCACTCTGGAGTCAGGACGATGTCTCTGTCTCCATCTCTGATACATACTGACTATGTGATTCTCCTCAAGACAATCCCTCAGGGCCAGAGGCAACTGTCTAAGATTACAAACTATGCAACAACTGCCCATCTGAATTGGTAGAGGAAGTGCCCTCACCTTACGCTCCCTACACCAATGAAATCATAGGTCTGGACCAAAAAAAAAAAGTGTCATTAATGAAATGATAGCTTTGTTGTATAACAACAACAACAATAACAACAATAGCTAGTGTTTATATAGTGCTTTAAGGTTTGTTACCTCATTTGATGTCCATAACAACCCTGTGAAGAAGTTGATATTATTATTTGCATTTTATGGAGACTAAAACTGAGAGAGGTTAAGTTTTGACTAGGGTCGCTCATGAAGTAAGTGTCTTTGGCAGGATTTGAAATCAGGCCAAACTCTAGGCACATTACAGCTGGCATTTAGTTCCAAACACCAACATTTTAGGGAGGACACTGAGAAACTGGAATGTGTCCAAAGGACCAAGATGGTGAGGTTACTTGACCTCCATTTATGAGGATCTATTGAAAAAACTTGGTATGAAGAATAGAAGAGTGATGGGGACATCATTGCTGTCATCAAGTACTTATTTAAAAGGCAGTTTAACTTGGCCTCAGAGGACTTAATTGGAAGTAATGGGCAGATGCCGCAAAGACACAGGTTCAACCCACATGGGAAAGAAAAAAAAAATTCCTAATTGGAAATGAGGGGTGACCTAAAGTAGAATTAGCTGCTATCACAGGAGATCTTCAGATAGAGGCTGGACATCACTTCTTGGGGATGGTGTGGAAAGGATTTCTGTTGAGGTACGGGTTGGAGAAGATGATCACTGAAATCCCTTCTAATCTTGCTCTGTTATTCTGGACTCTATTTTTGGAATCAAGTTCTTAGAGAATAGCATGCTAGCCTGTGCTATCATACGTACCACAGGTGGTGGAATGTAACAAGCATCCCTGACCAATGAATCTGAAGGAGAAATCTACAGCCCTGTAATCCCTCCTTTGGTTCAGAGGTGCGTCTTGATCATCCAAGCATGAGACACAGAAAATAGCAAGTGAAACCCCCTACTTAGCCACAACTAAATAAAGCAAAACCCCTTTTGCCTAAAACCTCCCATTAAAACTTCTTGTTTGTTTGGGTGTAGATCTCTGACTTCTCCAGCAGAGAGGACTCTTGGAGAAGAGACTTCCTCTACCAATGGGGAGTGATGACCCATCTAGAGAATTGTTCAAGGGCACTGAGATGTTAAGTAGCTTGTCCAGGCTGACACAACCAGTGTATGTCAGGACTTGAATCCAGGTTATGCTGGTTCGAAGGCCAGCTCTCTATCTATTACGCTATCCTCCCTCTGTTTCAGCTTTGAAAATGCCCCCCATTCCCCACTGGCATGCCTTCTCCCTTCCTGAGTTTCCCCGGGAGCGTCTGAGATATATTTCTGAGGTTTAGCTACATCTGTGGCTTAAAGGACATTGCATCAAAGGTATAGATGCCTGGAAAAGGAGGGGAACCAATAAGGAAATCAATGTGAAGAACAGCGGGCTTCCAGCCCAAGGACTGCATTGGTGTTCACTACATACATACACACACACACATACATATATACACATACATGTGCATGCAGATGCATGCGCATGATACCTATTTGCATACATATGCATATACACATACACATACACACAGATCTGTATACACACACACGCTAGTGTGCTGGGCAGCAACTTTATGGAAGATTTAAAGAAACAAAGAGAAGAACTGCACAAAATTAGAAGGTATGAATGAGTTGCCATCTTTATTGTGGAAGGGACTACTCATACCAAGATGGTCTCAAATTCATAGATATATTTAAATAAACAACTTTTAATAGGAACCTTCCATGTAGAACATTTTCCCTAGAACTGTTACCAAGAGTGTTAAAACTCATTTCTCTCTCTGCCCTGGTCTCTTTTTTGTTGTGATTTATTTCTCTACAACCACCACACATAACCCACCTTCAGGTAAAGTGGTGTGTGTATATGCAGTGGTGATGGTGGGCAGCAGAAGAATAGGTGGGCATTGTCAAAGTCTCCCTTTTCTCTCACCTAAAGCCCTGATCTCAAGAGGTCAGATGTAAACAAGGTAGGAACATTTATATCTGCCTTTTCCTAAGCTTATGTCCTGGGGGTGGGAGGTGGAGAAGGAGGGTGGCTATGAATCATGCAAATAAGTATGATGCAAAACAATGCACAAGTACAGGAGAAAGGTAGAAACATTGTCTCATGTGGAGTTTGAAATGAGTGAAAGCCGCATTATTGAAGAAATGTGTCTGCTTTTACGTAAATGCAGGAACTAGTGGAGTGTGGATACTTATTAGGTACTAATAAGGACAAGTATCCTGTTACAGTCTATGAGGACCAACTCTTTGCAAAATTATAGAGTGAATTATGTCTCTGAAGTAATTTCCCTATCTTTCTATGTTCATTTCCCCCCCCTTCCCCCAATAGTGTGTCTCCTCTTGAAGCGCCCAGTACATGGATTGTTCTGTTCTTCCTTCCCCTTTCCTACTCTTAAGAAGGGGATCTGACATTGTTTATTTAGATCTTAGCATAAATTGAATTCCCTGTGTTTATAGATTTTTGTTTTTAAGACTTTATCTCTAATTGCAGAATGAAATTGTTTTATTCCATACTAAAGGAATTTCACACCTTTGCAGGCAGGTGAGAGTGGTATATTTTAGAGGTAGGAAGCAGGCATTTTAGTGATGTAGGCGGCTGTCCATTTTGCCAATCTAAATGACAGCCGTTTTAGCTTATATGAACTGAGCACCTAAAATTTTCCCTCTACCATATGGACTAAAACTCAAGGCTGTGGATTGAAGAGGATAGTAAAAGACCATAAATTCCTAGCAGCTTTGCTAGAAGGCAAAGCAATTTCCTAAAAAGTAACACCAAAACAAAGCAATAACTTGTTAGGAACCTTATGTCAAAAGTTTTAGATGAAAGTGGTTTATGCACTTCCATTTTTTTCCAATTCATTTTTCTTGTTCAATCAGACTAAAAAAAAAAAGGAAATGTAGACATTTCTAATAATTCTACATTTGGAATCAATGCTTTATTCAACAACAACAATGATAAAAGGAATAAATATTTCTTTACCTTTGAAACCAGAAGTGAAATGATGTCTTTTACAGTGTCTTCAATCAAATCATCTATTTTAGAATGATACTGTTGCTGGGTGTTAAAAGACAAAGATGCATTAGTGTGGATATGAACACAAAACTTTTGTCATAAGTCATAAACACTCTAAAAGCTGCTAGCCCTGACAGATCAGATGTACTCAAAATGATCGTTTTGAACCTCAGAATAACAAAACCTTGAAAACGATCTACCCAATCAACACTCTTTTTACATTCCGTGTTGAAAATTTTCCCATGCACGCTGTCGAGTTAAGCAGCTAATGGGGTTATTATTTAGATGAATTGAGTTCTTATTCTTATTCAGGCGAAGGAATGTGAAGGATACTTTTTTTGTCTCCTCCTCTATAATTACGGTGGTCGTGTATTTTTCTAAAGGGTTGGTTTAGCTGGCGAAGCAAAAAGACTAGAAAAAGATTTAATTAATACAGCATTTCATGTCTGACAACTCTCATTCATAAGTTATTTTAAATGTGCTCTAGAAACAAAATGAGCTCTCAATTGTTCATTCTAAAAGGACCTTTTTGTCAGCATGGGGAGCAGCAGTTTATACAATTCTTACAATATGCGCAAGCAAGGGCAAAATTAAAATTTCATCAACAAAGGTGAATGGATGGTAACAAATTAATAGGCCATAATAGGTATTATGAAACAGCATTCCCTCTCTGCAGTCACAGTCCTGCTTCCTCATGAAAAAGACGCCTTTAAATAAATACAAAAAAAGATATATTTAAAATAAACCTGAAAGACTCCCCTGCCCCCCTTTTCTCTAGGGAATACTAGAGTTCTATTCTTAAATTAGCAGGAGCTAGGGCTTCTACTGCCCTGTGAAGGCACATCAATTTAAACAATAATTCTTCCTTTAGAAACATTTATCTGACAGTACATTGTCCCCAATAGCCACTTCACATAAAATGTGACTTGTAAAGACTAACCCTATCTTGATAGTTCAAGGCTTCTTGGAACAGCAAACATAATGCATAGAGGGAAAGTACTGAGGTCAGTATAAACATCAGACCAACTTAGCAGCTGCCAAGTGAAGAGTTTGCTAAGATTGTAAGTTTTTGAAAGCTGTCTTTCAAAACTTCTTCTGAAAACATGTCTCAAAGTTTCCACACAGAGCAAAATACTGACTTAGATCTGCCTTCGTGTACCAAGGAAACGATTTTTTTTCTTCTCACTGGTACATGAAAATCATGTCTAGTCAGCTTCTACCTGCATGAAACCCAACAGAGGAAAGGGTAAATTTGTGTTTGTGTATGTATATGTTTATGTGAATAGCAATTTTTCCATAGATGTGTGATTTTACCTTTATTTTTGGTGGGAGAGTGGGCAAAGGGATGACAAATAAATAAAAAATGATATATAATACATATTTTATATAATACATATGTATGTGCATTCTTAAAGATCTCTATGTATATACATACACATATACATATACATATATATGTGTGTATATATATGTATACTCGAGAAAGTAAATATTTTATTCAGTAAAACATGAAAAGTTGGTGGAATTCAATGATTATTGGATCCGTGGCCTTATTAGCCTTCACATCAGAGCTCCCCAAAATATAAAAGGATTTGAAACATGGAAAACAGCTTGCTGTTGCTGAGGTACAGGCACACTTCCTGCTTTTTATAATAGCTCAAAGTATATAAAAAGGGAGGGGGTCTAAGGGGGAAGCGAGAAAGAAAAGTAGTCTTGAAAAAGCCATCTGGCAGTTAAGGTCCTGATCCAGCCTAAATTACCCACAACTTTCTGAGCCAGGCAAGCCCTCACAAGAATATGTTTCCTAGGCCCCCAGCAACTGAACTATTCAGAGAGAAGGCTGGTTTGCCAAGGAAGCCATTCCCTACTCCTCCCCAAACTGCTAGGGAAAAAAAAAAATCATTCTTCTTTCCCCCTCTGGGCCCGCCCCCTTTCCCCCAAGCTGAAAGTTGTAAAGCTGACTGGGTGGTGGATGAGTTTATGTAAATAGACTCTGCTGCCCATCTCATGTTTTGCCACTCTCTTTTCATAAAACCCCCTTCCCTCAGATTTGGCGTCTCTTCAAGCAAAAGGGAACTAATCCAGTCTCTGACTGTAGCTACTCTTCAGCGTGGATTAGGAAAGGGATTCAGGATATGGATTCAAGGTTTATTTCATTTCTTATGAGCCTACAGATTTTTATTTTCTATGGCAACCCAAGAAGGGCTTTAAAGAAAGATACTCAATTGGAAATAATCCAATGGATTGGGACCAACCGAACCCCCAAACCTTGTCAGGTGCTGGGATTTGGCCCAACAGAAGGCTTATTGACTTATCCTCATTTGCCTTAACTTTCAATTTGCATAATTTTACTGGGTTATTAGCGGCCCCAAAAGGTGTTCACATATTAGCGAGGGAATGTTGCCCAACAGTTCCTGGGATATCTTTCTGGGTTAAGCTTTTGAGTCAAGTCAGACCCTATGTTTCCTGAAAGCAAATATGAGATGAGTCACTGTAGATTCTATTTAATCCCCCTTTTTGATTCAAAAGGATGAAATCCATCATGGACCATTGGAGTGATGGCTATCTTTAAAAAAATCACAGCAGGATTTAGCCTCAATTGAAGTTTAAAAAGAGATTTCTAGGTAACTGTGGTTATATTAAATAACTGATAACCCAAAGCATTGGATAATGGAAAATTTATTTGTGTTAGATTTTAGGCCATTTCAATCAGTCAGTCAATAGGCATTTATTAAACACCTCCTACGTGCCAAGTACCGTGCCGGGGTCTGGGGACATAAAGAAAAAAAAATGAAGCAATCCCTATCATCATGGAACTTATATTCCATCATATATTATTCTATTAATAAAAAGATATATTATTATATGATTAGTATTTCTCCAAAATTTTTTCAGGCCCAGACCTATGATTCCTTTGAGATACAGAATTTCCAAGCTATTCTAATGCAGATCAGCACCTGATCTCTAACTTGTATAGTTTTCTGGGACACTAAAAGGTTTTAATTTGCTCAGGATCATATAGCCAGTATGTGTCAGAAGTGGGTCTTAAACATAAGTATTCCTGACCCTAAGTTCAGATCTCTATCCACTACACCATGATGTCTCACTCAAGTTTATTTTTTAAATTATGTTTGGCTTGGGATAGCTAAATTTGATAATTTGATATAATTTGATAATTTGATAATATAATTTGATAATAACATAACTCCCTATATACACCTTGGCTAGATAATGGGTGGAAATGGCTCAGGAACACTGTGAGCAGTGTTCAGAGGGTGGTCAAAGGTTTACTATTTAATATTGCACAAAATCCCCTAAATGAATAATTCAGAGCTAACAAAATAGGATCACAGATTTACAGTTCAAAGGGACCTCAGAGTTCATCTGATCCAACCCCCTCATTTAAGTGATTTGCCCAAGGTCCCACGGGAAGTGAGCATCAGAGGGTAGTAGCTGAACCCAGCTCCTCAGATTCCAGAGTCAGTCTTTCCATGATAACACATCACCACACTAGTCAATACTAGAGAAAATACTGTTATGAGAGTTGGATAATATTATAAATAATTTTATTGGAGCCCCATAGCAGAGGCTTACAGCCAAAGAGGAACAATTTTTATTTTGACTTATATATTATACATTAAAAAGGTTTGTTTTGGCCATACCAAAAATCCTATGAAAATCTTCTCAAGAGTTTCTTGTTGAACTGGCATTGTCATATCCTAGGCCTTCCATAGGTATGGGTACCAGCCCCTACTTGAGGCCTTTTCCTCTTTATACAAGAAGAGAAAATGATTTTTGATTCCTGCGGTAGGGGTAAGTGGCTCCCATCACATAGTCAAGGGTAACGGCAGCACCCTACAGGACTTTTACTGCTTTTCTGGGTCTCATTTGGTATGAGAACAAGGAATTTAGGGAGCAACCACTTATCTAAAATTCCTGCCTTATTTTACATCAAAAGAATTCAGCACCATTTTACCTTCCTGTTCTCATGAAAACACATAAGAAATGAGAACTAACCAGTTGCTTGTTCAGTTTAACGGTCTTAAAAGAGTTTTGCCACAACTTCTGGGATGAACTTTAAAGCTGCTGGATGGTTACTTGTGGGGACAGAAATCTTCTATTCTGAGAACAAACAGCACAAGGAAAGACAGGCCCCCATGTTGCCCCATTAATGTGCTTTCATCCTCACCCAATGGGATTGTCAGACAAAGTGGCTTTGAGGGCAGATGAATGCCTGTGGCCCATTGAATGCTCTGCTTTTCTGCTGTGATGGCTAACGAGGTTTTTAAATGCGGTGCTGGTTGTGTGATCTCAACATCTGTCCCGGGAGGGCCATCGCTGGGATTGATGACTCGTTTCACACAACTATCACATGGTAAGAACGTTCATCCACTAATCAGCCTATTAAACACTCTTCTGAGTGGTTACAGAACGTGCCTGCATCATCACATGTCACGTAAGAAAACAGAATAATAATTTACAAGCACAGAAAATAGGGATGAGAAAGTTGGAATGCAATCACAACATCACAATTCTTGGCAGGCTTCTGAAGAAGTTTTCTCTACATTAACCAAGGACTCTGTCCTTATAATTTGGGGAATAATATATGGTCTGTTAGCTTTTAACTTTGACATAGTTCATTGAGTTTCACATTTGGCTACTGATAAAATTTTTACTAAAGCATATGCATAAGCAGCTATACTCACTATATTTTGTATTTAAATATTTAGAAACAGCATTATAGGTTTATATATTTTCTAAGCCCAGGGTCCATAAGTTGGGCTTCTGCCTAAGTCACACACTTAGTAAGTTGCTAGAGATACTATAGGTAGAGCTGATACTCCTACCCAAAGTAGTTCTTGGGCATGCAGAATGAAGAAGGAAGATTTTTTGGGGCTTTGGGTTTGAATTCATGGGGGAACAATACTATGGGTGAACTTCCTGTTCATTCTGTAGTTCATGTGTACCATTTTGTACTGCTACATGCTACAAAACCATGAGGTTTTAAAATGCACCTTGAATACTGTATAAATTATGTGTCAGTTATAGAGAAATTAATTTTCTTATAATTTTAACATGGCTAGTCTTTAAAACCATGCCCTTAAGAAAGTAAAGAATTTATTTTTAAGTAGAACAATTCTTTGATGTTTATGAGGATTTTAGTAGAAGTCAGAAGTTGTTTGTCATAGTTATAGGATATTAATGAAAGAGACATGTGTTGATCTAGTTTCTCTTCCCTCCCTTCATTTTACAGATAAGGAAACAGAGGCACAGAGAGATGAAATTCCTAGACCAAGATAATATGGATAGTTAGTGGCAGAAGTAGGTCTAGATTAGAACCTGGGTTGCCTGACTCCAAGTCCAGTATTCTTTCCACAGAAGTAGATTTCAGAATAGCAGCAACAAATAACATTAGATATTAAAAAGCAACAAATAAATAGAACCCATAATGATGGAAAGAGGCAATGGCTTTATAAATGAGATGAATGAAGAGATTTAATATACGATTCTTGGGCAATCAGAGGCATATGTATATTGAAAAACTTAGATGAGTAGACAAGAGATACTGGTATCTTGGTCAGTTCTGCTTGATAAAGCAACTAGAGGTAATGATATAAGTGATTATAAACCCAGGATTATCAAGGACAATTTAATATTTTACAATATTTGCATTTAGGGCTTCAAAAATAATATACAACTGAATTTCTATAAACCACACATACCCAATGAACTATAAATAGGATTAGGCTAGTTTGTATCACAGGTATGTGTGTATTTTTTATATATATATATATGTATATATATATAATATGTATATATGTGTATATATATATGTAACACACACACATATAAGTGTGTATATATACATACATACACATATATACATATCTATATACACATATATGTAAACATGCATACATTAATTATGGTCAAAGACAAATTTATTCTGGTTAAATTTATTCTACAGAAAAAGGTGAACATCAGGAATTTTATGAATCATTTCCATTTGTAATTGCATTCTCAAATGGAGCTTTACATTTTTTTGCCTTATTTAAATTTATTCCATTCAATTAAGCAAATGTTTATTAAGTATCTACTATGTGCGAGTTATTTAGTATATACAAGGGTTTGCAGAGTCTGGATCCCCGATACGTAAAAATCAAATGCAAATCATTTTGAATTACAAAGGGATCAACGTAGAAATCCTTATTTAAAGAAGAATTTAGTCTCAAGAAGATAAGTTTAATAAGCGGTACAATTTAAAATTTTGTTAATTGTTCTCTACTATAAATATCAGAAGGTCAGATTTTAGTCATAAAACACATTTCCACAAGTTTGACAATGTTTTTATAATGAGATTGTAGTAACAAATTTGCCTATTATAAACAAATGATCCACTGTCTGCTCTAAAGAGTAACTTTCCAGCCACCCTCTTCCCTCTCCCTACAAAAGAGAAAGAAATCTCAGAATTCCTGTCTTGATGAAGGACATAAGCACATGAAAATGTCTGCATTTCTACAATCTGAAATAATTTAAATAACTAGTAATGCTCTTATTTAGTTCTCAGCCTAAGAGACATATTATTTCTCCAGTATTGCAAGTGCTAGCCAGAGGGCAAACTTTAGCTATGACACGTTACATTATTTTGCCTAAAAAATGCCCTGGAATCTCACTATAAAACTTATTTGTTACAGAACCCAATCTGGCATAAGGCTGGGTTTCTCAAATTCCACCAAAAAAGTGGTTTCATTTATAAAGTGGTTCTAAAAGACTCAGATAAAGAGACTTCAGCATATGTTATTTTAGCTGTAATATATCCACATATAAAGACATAAATAGGGCAGCTAGGTGGTACTGTGGATAGAGCACTGGGCTTAGAATCAGGAAGGCTCATGTTCATGAGTTCAAATCTAGCCTCAGACACTTAGTAGCTGTGTGACCCTGGGCAAATCCTTAATCCTGTTTGCCTCAGTTCCTTACCTGCAGAATGGGCTGGAGAAGGAAATGGCAAACTACCTTAGTATCTTTACTAAGAAAACCCAATGGAGTCACAAAGAGTTGGCTATGACCGAACAACAACAAAAAGTCATGATAGCAGTTAACTTAAAAACACCTAAAAACCTGAGAACAGATTCAATTGACTTATTTAATTAATACATATGTTTACTTGTATGCATAATTTAATAAAGAAACAATACTAAAATATGAAAAGAAAAAAGCAGGTTTCCGAAATAAAAGGGACTTACCCATTGACTACCAAGCTGGAACATGCCATGGAAAATAAAAAGACCAAGGAGAACATATAAGGGAAGAACAAGGAAATGGTGAAAGAATAATTAAAATGAAAAAAAAAGGCAAAACAATATCAAATTCAACAGATGAGCTCAGAAAAATGTTCACATTCACCCACTCAACATGTTCAACAAAAACCAATCACAGAGGAGACTACAATGAGGGTGCTTTGCATTAGGTGTTTCATTTTCATATACAAAGCTACACTCAATCTATACATCAAATCAAAGCCCATGACATTTTTTCTGTAAAGAAAGGAAAATTATAGTTAATTTTCCAACCAGTTTCCAGTTCTTTTTATGAAGTTTATAGTTGTCCCTTAAAAATGGACCCTTTCATGCCAAAAAGATACTCCATAGATTTGTTTTTTTTTTTTTTTGTTTTGTTTTGTTTTTTGGTGTGGCTGCTTTGCTTTTATTTAATTCAAAATTTGCATAAGCTTAATTTGTATAAACAAAACAGGCCCTTTAATAACCCTTTAATTAGTTTGTAAAAAGTAGAGTTTGTAGAAGGGGAAAACCCAAGCTGTAAAGGGGCCTACCTGGAATTCAAGGGCTACTTTAAAAAAGTCTGACATACTTTCAGGTAACAAAAAAAGAAAATGACATGAACAAAGTAAAAAGGGGGCATGTAATTATCCAGTGAAAGAAAAGATTAAATACATGGTGTTGGAAAACTTGTTTTTAATCCAATAAAGTGAACACCTTCTGTAAACAGCATGATTGTACTGCCAGTTCACCCAACATTCTACATTTCTACATGCACGATTTCACTCACCTCTTGTCCTCCATCCAGGGCACAGAGTTTGGTGCTTTGCTTTTTGGCATCGACTAAGACATTAAACATCGTGCATACTGATGCTGGAATCCGTAGGTCGGTTGTTTTGCTGGCCTTTTGCAGCTTGAGTTCAAATGCAATTCTTGTTCTATTTATGAAAACATGGACCTAGAGTAAGACAACCTGTCATACTTCCCAAATGATTTGTAAACAAAGAAGCAACATTGAACATGCTAACTGAAAACTTGCAAATAAGGAACTAGCAGAATGAATATACTTGGGCAGATGGTATGGGAAGTAGAATGTTCTACTTGGGGGATGGCCAGTCATAATGCCAGAAGCATAATCAGTGGGAAGGGTTAGCTTGCAATGCTGTCTGACAATGATACAGTCCAATATGCTAAAGGTGCACATGGAGGTGGCACATAAGAAATATTTGACTATTTCATAGGAAGCATCAGAATATAGTATTTTACCATAAATTCAAGGCTATGTATTGACTTAGTAGACCAAAACCCACAAGGCCATGAAAAGTATTAATCATTATATTAAGCACAGCCCTTTTAATAGCAAACCTCATGGCTCCATTTAAGAGTTTTTTTGAATAATTTACAAATGCAAGACATCAAATGGAAAAATGCAAGGCTTCTCTATACTAATATATTCTAATGGAAAAACTACCACAAATCAACCTATGAAACTCTAAAGCATTTATGTTTGGCAAGAATGTACTTGTTTTATACGTGTTGTAAGCATGGCCCTGGTAATAAGTGTCTTTGCACAATTAGAATGTAATGCTCATTTCAAGACAACTAACATTACGGAGGCAGTATCAGCAATATTTGGAAAAATCCAAAAGGATGCATATAGTCTGATTTTGATTATATTTTGAAGAGTGTGAGTGGGTACTGTATCCTGGAAATGAGTTACCAACAATGCAGGTGGATGGTCAGTGGTAATGCCAGAAGCATAATCACTGGGGAGGGCTAGCTTGCAATGCTATCTGACAATGATACAGTCCAATATGCTGAAGGCAGCACATAAGAAATAAGGGAGCTAGCTAACAGCCCCTTTCCATATGTCTCTGGAGGGAGTACACTGAGAAAGCAAAGCACTGAATTCCCAGAGAGATACAGAGAAGAGCAACAGGAATGATTAATATGGTGCAGTTGTTGCTGATGAGAGTTGTTCCAAACATGAAAAAGGCATCAGGTCAATGCTGTACATTTTATCAACTCCGTGCATCCCAGAGTTGAGGAACCCCCAAGGTTAGCGCATGTTTATTCCATCTCAAGGATGTGCACATGTGCCTATGCCTTCCTTTTTTTATAGCTGTGGAACAGGTTCTGATTATGAGAGATGGAACTTCAGATACTGAAGAGAGAAAAAAGGAACTTCTACCTTCTGACGCAGGCCTCGATCATATCGCTGGCCATGAGTTTAAGTCTTTGCTCTAAGTGGTGAGCAAATTCTTGTTCTGGCCAGTGCAGATCAAAGACAAACATTTGCAGTGCATCTAGTTTCCAAAAGAGATCTTCTGAAGTGGCTGATCCATTGCTGGAAAAAGGGAAAAATAAAGCACATCATAACATTGCTATAGGTAGCATCTGTTCTATTAAATTACTGCTGATCCTCCCTTTCCCAAAGCTTTTCTTGCCCTTTCTCTCACTGTAAGGTGGGTGAACAAGAGAAGACTACGAATTAAAACATTAAGAGAGATAAATAAAGGAGGAAAGTGAAATGAACAAGAAAGCTTTACTATGAAGAAACCAATACTCACATACAGGAATGAATAATTTCAACATTCTTTACCAAATTCCACTACCTCGAGTGTCAGATAAATATATTTTGTTCCAGATATTTCAAAAACATAAACTACAGCTCTGCTCTTGGTACCTGAACAGGTCTATTTGTGCATCTATATACTGGCAAGCACGTGACTAATGGTGATTTCAAATTCTCAATTTTGGGTGTTGAAACATGCATAAACAATTAAAGATGCAAAAACTTCCAGGCTTGGAAATCTGAATTGTTTTTACCTACTTCAAAATCCTGTGCCAATACACCTAATCCTCTCCTTGTTTTTTTCAGACTAGGGAATCATCTGGTTAGAAAAGAAAAAAAAAGTATGGTCTGACACCCAAACGACACTCAGTTTGCTCTGGAACTACAGAAAAAAAAAGGTGTGTTTTTAAACCTCACATCTAAATATGGAACTATGATTTACTTTGTGTTAACTACCATTGTAAATGACTCTAGGGGACAGTGTTTTCACACCATGTGTGGAGGTTATTTGTACACTAGTACATATAATATTTGAGTAGGAGCATCTTACTATTATTTTTCTTCATGTACTTAAATGACTTTACAAATAGTTACTCTATAGGAGGATGTTTTTGAAGATCAAAAAAAATTAATTCTCTTGAAAACACTGAACCATAAAATCAGAGCAAAAGCACAAAATATCCCCTAAATAATGGCTCATGTGTCAACATGGTTTCAAAAATTGTTTCAATAATTAAAATAATTTCATTATTTCAATAATATGATCATAAGAAAACTATTTACAACGGGAAAACCACCAGTTTTCTATAAAGCTATGGCTGAAAACATATAAAATAAGAAGCTGCAAATCATAAAAATATACAAATACTATTTAGGAAATGTCTTAATTAGCTCACTAGAAAGGAAGAAGAAACCCTCCCATTTTGGCTCATTAAAAGCTGGTTTCTTCCCAACAGAGAGTCTCAGCTCTATCACTTATTCAGTATGCTTTTCTTACTAACTTCTGCCAATAATTCATAGTTCTCTGTATGTCTAGCCAAGGTATCCTTTGAGTTAACTTCTCAGGGGACCAATCATAGCAAAACACTGAATACTGAACATAGCACCTTCTTCTCTTAATATCTCCCAAACCTTAATATTCAATGCCCCAAATGTACCATTAAACAAAAGGACCTACAAAACAACCAACAACACTGCAATGACTCCTGTGAAAACCAAAAGCTAACACAAGTGCATATTTACTTTTTCTCTGTGCTAAATAGAAAAAGGAAGCAGGAACATACCAAAGAGAATCACCCTGAACATTTCCAGTAAGGAACTTACTTGATGATTGTAGTATTTCAAATGGACCATATGTAAATGGTAGGAAAGACCATGTACTTTCATTTCTGTATGAGTTTTTTTTCTCCTTTGAGGACTGTAAATTAAAGCAATTATTTAAAACTTTTCCATACTTTCATTCCAAAATGCCAGTGGATCTGGGATCTTGCTGATGTGAGCATTTCTTTCACTGATGCTGATTGAAATGCATTTGTGCTTGCCCAATTCCCACAAAAATCAATAGTACAACATATACTAAATCTAATGAAAATTGAGCTTTTGATAAGTGCAAACAATTAAAATATGGGTCCATAATTTTTGATATCCTTTTTCTTCTTTGGTGATCTATTAAGACCTTATCCACAGAACATGGCTAATTACAGAAGCAGTTGGGTAAATAGGTGTTTTGTTTTGTTTTGTTTTGTTTTAAAGAGAAAAATGACAAAATGTAAATGTGTTCTTCCAAGAGCCAACAGTTCATTTAGAATTTCTTTGCCCCCAAAAGATCTAAACTGTAATGTCATGGTGGCACTATGAACATTTACAAAACACCACTATGAACAATGGATCCCTTGGTGGGTGCCTGAAAAATGCCAATAGGAAAGGCTATCCTTAGCAGCCAGTTTTAGAACAAAAACGGTGAAATGCATGGAACTTTATAAACAAAGAGAAGGGGATAAAGAGCTCCTCCTAATGCATGGTTTTTGTCTTCACATGTTAGTAGAAATAAACTTATCCTTTAAAATAGTCACACAGTTTAGAGAAATAGTCCTCTGCCTTTAATTGCATCCATTTGACTAAGCTGCCTTAAAACTAGTCATCTGAACTGAACCCTAGTCAGATGTGGTTACTTTGACATTGCTTCCCCCCCACCATCCCCATCAAGATCTGCACTCTTTTAGTACCTCATATGAATGAAAGTGAAAAGCACTTGATTTCTAGTTAGTTTTCTATACCAAAATTTCCTTTTAAAAAACAAATTTTAGAAGCACACAAAAAAAACCAAAACCAAAAACAAAAAACCCAACATTATGAGTAGCTCTGGGAACTTTGCCAAACTATCCAATGGTGATAACCTTGACAGAGAAAGAAAATAGCGGCCAACTCTTTGAAACATGTTCTTTATCTGTTCAGGGAAGTAGAATTCTAGCAATTAAAAACAGCTACAATACACCATCCACACTGATGTCTTGAAACGTAGACGATTAAGAAAATGAACTCCAAAGGATAGATGACAAGGAACTCAGAAGGTCACCCATCACAGCTCAAGTTTTGGGCTATGACTGACAAAGACAAGTTCTCAGAGGAGCGCTCGCAGGAGGGGTGAGGAGCTAAATTGCTAGGCTCTCACACCAAGGGTGAGGAAAGGTGAAAAATGGAAAGGAGTAAAGAAGGATTACTCCTTCCATTGGCAAATGCCAGAAGTCTAGAGAAATGTTATTCAATACACTTTCTAGGTAATTCCTTGCAAATACACAGACACTGACACACAAGGGAACCATGAACACTGAAAGAACCCAAAGCTTTTTGTCTGTAAGAAAAAAGTTCATGCGTAACATAAAACCTTAATAATTCCTGTGGGCAGAAGGATGATATTTAACTTGCAAGAATACTGTCAAAATATTTTTTCAAATTATCTTTTTCACAGTTGTTTAGACACTAGCTCATGGAAGTGTTGTAAATATGTCTCCATCTAAAAGGCTTATCTCAATAAGCTTCACTGCTGCTTTGCACAGAGTGGGGGATAGTGGAAAGATGCCCAGGCTTTTAAAAAAAAAAGCAGGAGATCAGGCAGATTTCTGGTGTCATTCCACTAAAAGATCTTGGGCAATCATTTAAACATCTTGTATTTCAGTTTCCCCATCTTTAAAATGGGGATAACAATCCTTGTCCTACCTATAGCACATGTAGTATTGCTGAATTTGTTCTGTTGTGGGGATATAGAGAAATAATATAACATGAAAATGATTTGCAACATCTCAAGTCCTATCAAATTATGAGGCAGTATTAGATTTGGCACTGGAGAGAGGCATATCTATATCATCTTGGTTAAATGGGGGATTGTTCATCAAGTTATAGAAGGTTTTTATCATAAAGACAATTTAAAAATAATAAAGAACACGAATGGACAGCATATCAGAAAGACAAAAGAATGATTACATAAATTGGGCTAACGACAACCTCTTTCCTCATAGTATCCCTTTAACTCTTGAACTTCAAGAAAAATAGAAAAAAATGTCTGTTATCACTGAAAATGTTTTTAGAACAATTTCCTGCATGCACTAGAGAAGTCATTTAGTCATTTAAGAGTAAGGTGAGCCCAACGACTGGGAGGGAAACAGCTTATCTTGCTCATTAGCTAAATATGAAAGATTGTATTTATGCCATTTAGTTCACAGTCTGCAACCTGGGTCTTAAATGACCTTTGTTCCATGGATGTAAAGTAGGATATTAACTATATCACATTGCTGTGACTTTATGCTCTAAATTGATAATCACTGATGTTCTATGCTTAGCTCAACAGCTGTTAACACACACACACACACACACACACACACACACACTGTGTAGTGTCTTTCTACCAATGATTGCAAATGCCATGCACATCAAATACTTCTGCACACAACATGGCAAGGTCATGCACTAGCTAACACACCACTGAGAGAAAAGTGAGAATACACACGTGGACTCATATAAAGAAGCCATCCAGGATGGTGTAGAAAAGCTAGGTATCTGCGGAAGATTAAGAGGCAGACTTGGAACTTTTGGAAGACCTACATTGGGAAGACTGTTGGCGATGTTCCTGTGAAGAAACAAACAACGTGGGAAGGGAAGGCCATAAGAAGTAGCTCAAGGTGACCCTCACAAAGTCAGGTGTAAGATTGCAGAGGTGCCATTCATACTAGGATACCTACTTGACAGGCTGCCACGTTTCTTGCTCAAAACCCCTGTGAATGGATTGGGCGATGGAAGATTCCATGAGATCCACGTAGCGGACGACCAAGGGAACAAAGATGTCTTGCAAGTGCTTATGAAATTTTCCATTACACAAAAGTGCTGTAATATCCAAACAGAAACAGTGTTCATCAGTGTGGATAACATCAGCCTTTTTTTATTATTAAACAATTTATTTATTTATTTTTATTTTCAACATTCACTTCCGTAAGAATTTGAATTTCAAATTTTCTCCCCCCTCTCTCCTCCCCCCTCTCCAAGACAGCATGCAATCTGATACAGGCTCTACTTATACATTCATGTTAAGCATATTTTCACATTAGTCATGATGTGAAGAAGAATTACAACCAATGGGAGGAACCATGAGAAAGAAGAATCAAAACAAAACTACAAAAGAAAAGGAGAGCAAATAGTATGCTTCCATCTGCATTCAGATTCCATAGTTCTTTCTCTGGATGTGGATAGTTTTTTTCCATCATGATCTTTTGGAGTTGTCTTAGATCCTTGCATTTCTGAGAAGAGTTAAGTCCATCAAAGTTAGTCATTGCACAGGGTGGCTGTTACTGTGGACGATGTTCTCCTGGTTCTGCTTATCTCACTCAGCATCAGTTCATATAAGACTTTCCACGTTTTTCTGAAATCTGCCTGCTCATCATTTCTTATAGCACAATAGTATTCCATTACATTTCTATACCCCAGCTTGTTCTGTCATTCTCCAATTGATGGGCATCCCCTCAATTTCCAATTTTTGGCCACCACAAAAAGAGTTGCTATAAATATTTTTGTACATGTAGGTCTTTTCCCCATTTTTATGATCTCTTTGGGATACAGACCTAGAAGTGGTATTGCTGGGTCAAAGGGTATGCACAATTTTATAGCCCTTTGGGCATAGTTCCTAATTGCTCTCCAAAATGGTTGGATCATTTCACAACTCCACCAACAATGCATTAGTGTTCCAATTTTCCCATATCTTCTTCAATATTTATAATTTTCCTGTTTTGTCATGTCAGCCAATCTGATAGGTGTAATGTGGTAACTCAGAGTCATTTTGATTTGCATTTCCCTAATCAATAGTGTTTTAGAACATTTTTTCATATGGCTATAGATATCTTTGATTTCTTCCTCTGAAAACTGCCTGTTCATATCCTTTGACCATTTACCAGTTGGGGAATGACTTGTATTCTTATAAATTCAATTCAGTTCTTTGTATATTTTAGAAATGTGGCCTTTATCAGAGACATTGGTTATAAAAATTGTTTCCCAGCTTTCTGCTTCCCTTCTAATCTTGGTTGCATTGGCTTTGTCTGTGCAAAAGCTTTTCAATTTAATGTAATTAAAGTTATCCATTTTGCATTTCATTATGTTCTCTATCTCTTGTTTGGCCATAAATTCTTCCCTTCTCCATAGATCTGACAGGCAAACTATTCCGTGCTCTCCTACTTTGCTTATAGTATCCATCTTTATATCTAAATCATGTACCATTTTGATTTTATCTTGGTATAGGGTATAAGATGTTGGTCTATGCCTAGTTTCTGCCATACTATTTTCCAGTTTCCCCAGCAGTTTTTGTTAAATAGTGAGTTCTTATCCCAGAAGCTGGAGTCTTTGGATTTATCAAATAGTAGATTATTATAGTCATTGTAACATCACTCTTTTGAAAAACATGGATGAAATGCATTCCCTGAATTGCTTGTTATATAAATAACTAATGAAATTCACATTGCAATGGGATGCTTCCTGTGTTGAATATGACATCTTCTAAACTTCATCTAAAAAACCTATATTGTCCCATCTATAAAGCTTTACAAATACAATTGCATAGATGTTTTTGCAAATTATTACTTCCAGGTGGCATATTTCTACTTTTCATGATGGTCTACTAACATGGCTTAACTTACGTGGTTTGCTTATACCTGTGATGCAGTTTACGGAGGTCTAGAAAAGCCCGGTTCACCAAATGTCCCAAAGCAGGTCAATATAGTAGGATACAAAGTTTCAGACTCTGTTCCCTGCTATAGGCTTCCCTTCTCTCATTTCAGAGGATTTGGTGCCCTTTGTCTTTGCTAAGCCTAACCTTCCATCTCTCTCCTGAATCCATTGTTCTACTATTTCCTCTGGGACTCTGCTGTATCAGTCATTCCTTTTGCCTGAGTGCACTGCTTTCCAAAGCCACTTTGTATTCACTTAAAAAAATATGTAAATGTGCATGGATGTACATGTTGTATACCTCGTTGGAATGTAACACCCTTGAGATCAAGGACTTTTTCACTTCTGTGAACTATCTTCAGTGATCGGCATAGTGCCTTTCACACATAAGCACTTGGCAAATGCTTGTTGATTGACTGATCAACTTTCTCATGTCTCTGTTACCTTTTTTACCCATTATAAATGCTGTCTGTTCTTCCCTATCCTGATCATTTCTTCCCTCTTTTTATCCCCTTTGTTGTTTAACTCAGAGAAAAAATACATAGTCACTGCCCCTACATCTTCACTACCTCTTGTCATTTGGATTCTCCCCACATCACTATGAACATCAATAACTGAATTTTGGATGCAAGTCTCATTGAAGAACTTGAAGTAGAGTAACACTCTCCAGGGTCTCTAATAACCTCTTTATTGCCAAATTCAATTAAATTATTTCCTTATCCTCTTCGTGGCATCGGATACTGTGGATCACCTCCTCCTCCTTCTTGATATTCTCTCCTCTCTTTCTTGGCTTCTGACATTAAACTCTTGTGCTCCACCTTTTGAAATTCCTTTTCTGCCTCTTTCATTGGCTCTATTCTTTTCCTGTTTGGTAAACATGGGTATTGTCTGTAGATGTGTCCTAGGACCTCTTTACATTTTCATACTTGGTGATCTTATCCACTCCAATGGCTTCAGTTATCATCTTTATGTAGTTGACTTCCACATCTATATTTCTTTTCCCAACATCTTGCCAACTAATATTTTTTTTTATTTCCAATACTATGTCTGACTATTCCAAATAGCTTCTACACACTTACGACTTCTCCTCAAAAGGCAGTTATTGTGATGCTTAGGTAAGATTCATGCTATTGTGCATCAGATCTGTGAGGCACTAAGATGAGAATATGAGGAGGTTTTAATTTCCTCAGAATACAAGTGACTATGCTCTTGACTGGCACAGAGAAAATGTGCAGATTCGACAAGAAACTATTGGTAGAACTTGTTACCATTTATGAAAGATTTCATAAAGTTATACTTCTCAGAGCTGTAAAGGAATCCGTTCAATTTTGGGGCAGTTTATAATTATTAGAAAATATTTCTATATAAATATTTATATGTTTGTGTGTGTGTATGTCCTAAATCAATTTCTCTGTAACTTGTACTTATTACTCCTAGTTTGCACTTTGTAACACCCCACAAAAAAAACAAGTTTACTTCCTTTTCCACATGAGAACCTTCGAGATACTTAAAGATAACTATAATATTCCTAAGTCTTCCCTTCTCTGAGATAAATGACTTCAGTTCCTTTAATGGATTCTCATGTGGCATGGTTTCTACTTCTAACACTACTTGGGGTCACCAGCTTTTGGCTACTTCTTAATAGAGAATCTCCTAGTGAAGAGACTCTTTTTCCCAATACAAGTTGGCATCTTATCTGTAATTTACAGTCTTGGAGAATTTTCCTAGAGCATTGAGAGGCTGAGTTGCCCAGGATCACAGAGCTAGTATGTGGCCAAGGTGGGGGAATGAATCCACACTGTCTTTGTTCTGGGGCTGGCTGTCTACCCACCATGCCCCCTTGCCTCTCTACTTGTGAATCTCCTTCTTAAAATGTTGAGCACAGATATGAATTTGGTAGTCCAGATGTGGTCTGAGCAGGGAGAATACAGTGGAATTATCACTCCCTGGTTCTGAATGTTTTTTGATTCACATTATGCTATTGACTCATATTAAATTTACAATTCACTAAAACTTCTTGGTATTTTTCACATGCACAAAAGACCATGAATACAAAGAACCATGTCCACCCCCCAAGTCATTTGTTCTCTTGGTTAAACAAACACTTTGGCTTTATTTAACCAACTAGTATACTTGCAGCCATCAAAATGATAAAAATTACAATTTGTAGTAATTAGATGGGAATTGACATTCAATAATTCTTGGATTCCACACCCATTTGGGCTAAGAACCTCTCATGTGACCCTCAGGAAAGAAGTTGCTTTGCTGTGTAGTGTGAAATTCTTCCCCAACTAATGATACAAAGGTCTCATTCCCACCAAGTGAAATGGAACTCACAGTAGGCTCTCTTAAAGATTACAGGGACGACAGACTAATGGAAAGTTCACTCCATGCTCATTGTCCATGTCTATATCAGTAGGCTGAAGAAATTATGGTAAGTATTGTCAAAATTGAGGTGATAATATGCTATTGACACATGGAAACAACTCTGGTATAATGAACACCTAAAACTATTTTGTCCTCTGGCAAGTTTAGTTCAAGACCAAACAACAGCAACAACAAAAAACAGGAAAAAATAAAAAAAAATAAAAAAGTAGTTAGTGGAAAGAAAAGGTTGATTCTAAAGCATAACCCTATCTAACTCAATAGCTAATCATATGCTAATTACTAAGTGATGATAAAGATTGGTAGAAGTGAGGTAGCCTTAGTTTTTTAGCTATTATCTATTAATGCAGAAAGGCAGCATAATGGAAAGAACCTTGGATCTGAACCTGAAATCAGAAGATGGCTGGGTTCAAATTCAAACTCTGACTTTTATTGTGTGCTCTTAGTCAAGACACTTACCCTGTCTAGTAATAGCTAGCATTTATATAGAGTCTTAAGGTTTGCAAAGTGATTTGCAAATATCATTTCATTTTATTTTTACAACAACCCTGTGAAGTAGTGCTATTATTATCTCCATTTTCCCATATGAGTAAACTGAGGCAGACAGAGAGGTTAAGTGACTTGCCCAGGGTCACACAGCTAGTAACTGAGATTGGATTTGAACTCAGGTTTTTCTGACTAGATTCAGCACTCTATCTATCCACTGTGCCACCTACCATCCTAAGCCTCAGTTTCTTCACCTGCAAACATGGGGATAATAATGGTATTTATTTCATAGGGTTCCTGTGAGG